AGACCAGCTTCAATGGCTTTTTTTCCTTACACTCTGCTATGTGTCATCATCCACTTACCCAAGGTTTTCAATCAGCTGCTTCTAAAATTCAGGTCTTTACATTATCCCAGTTTTCTTCAATATTCCGATTTTCCCTCTATTGCAAGTGCTTCAAATCTGTTTTTCAGCTTAAGCTCGAACTCTTCTCGTCTTTTGTTTATTTGCCAAGTGTTTGACTATCTATTCGTTGTTACACATGTTTTTTAGCAAATGTTTTAAATTAAGGCTTTAATTTTTCTACACATAAGTGGCCACTGCCCATGTCTGCTCCTCTGCATGCTCGGACACACACCAGCGAGTTTCTACATTTGTTGTGTACACAGAAGTTTGTCTATTTGATTCCTAGTCACTGCATCTGCTGAGTGCCTAGTTAATTTATGAATCTCCTTATGAGCACAGATGGTGCTTTCAATTACAAGATACAATTTCAAACATAATTCAGCTACTCGTTCTTCATTTTCATTCACAGTGTTAACTCTTTCCTTTACCATTACTCTCTCAACGTAGCGACGTGGCCAAACCGTTTGTCTCGCGCTCTGAAGGTAGTGGGTTCGATTCACGGCTGCGTTGTTCAGTTCACAAGTGTAATTTTTACGGAGATCCCTATGGATCGTTGCCGGAGCTATGGAGTTTGTGCACTGTACGCTGCTCTCAGTAGGCGGATAGCTGTTCTGCGAAGTGAGACCGAGCCATATGGGATAGAACCCTGTACAATAAAGTCGATCCTCTCGACTTTAACCTATATTTTCACTAGCTACTTCTGTGTTAAAATCTCCCATTACCATCGACACATTAATTCTTTAAGCTTCAAAACATTAAGTTAACATCATTCTTCACAGACGAAATTTGACCACATGTGTACAGCGCTTAAATATAAACCTTCTAGAACCTACCTAGCACATACATTTCTCATACTCACAACATAACTACAAGTTTCAAAAACCACAACCAAAAAAAAGATCAGCTGATCTGAAAAACCAGAAGTCCCAACCAATCTATCTAAGTAATTCTTATGTGCGTAGGGTTTCCTAATTCCAAATCAATACACTATCTTTGATTTGAATAGACCGAAGACCGAAAACTCTATAGTTTTTATTGATGAACAAAACACAGCTTACTTGACTATCAAAGAAGTTATTGGACTTTGAAACGTTAACGACGCGATTATGTTAATTTTTTTTGCATTCAGCCGCTGAAAACTCCGGCGGAGTGTCTTGGTTGTTCATCAACTTGTGGGCTGTGGTTACGTCCAAGACGGTCAATGTGAGGGTTCTGGGTTCCATTCTAGAGACCAAATAATATAACTTCTCCCGTCCCAACAAGTATGTCGTAAAAGACTTAAATTAAGGGTTAAAGTTTAGACGACGGATCAACATCATGGCACAAGGGTAGTAACCCGTAAGATCTTTTAACTTAAGCCGAATAGTCTCAGCGCAGTCACGAACCCCGTAGCACCGGCGAGGATCCTGATACACTTTTGGCTGATTTTGAATTCCACATTTATGCTCGGGCAGCGCAGTTAGGATACTCTTTTTTTCGATTTCCAACTGCTGAAGGATTTGTTACATGCGCAGCAATACACACGGGTGTCTGATCTTACTACCCAGAGACCAGTGGAAATCGCTAGCAGTCTACGTGAAAAAATCCCAGCCTTTACCGGGGCTTGAGCCAGGGACCTCCAGCATTCGAGACGGATGCCATGCCTCAAGACCACGCAGACCCTTTTAATTAAGGGTGTGCCCATCGAAGTCGGTGTGCTTCTACCTGAAAAACAAAGAACCACAAGCCTACATACATATAAGCCCTTCCAGGAGTATACGATCAACCAGAGTTTACAGCCCGTGAACTCAAAGAAGGATACGAGTTACGCCAGTACATCATTTTGTTAACACGGTAGATACATGAAAAGCAATGGACTGGGTGGACATTCTCAATGCTCTAAAGCAGACAGGACGAGAAGATGATTCAGGAGACGACGTTGAATCGAAAAGACTACAAGAACCTCAGGTCAATGAGGTGTTGCCAAACATGAACACTATACAGGTAGCCAAGAAGACTAATAACCCTAGACAGAACTGGTGTTAACCCTACACAGAACTGGTGTTATCCCTAGACAGAACTGGTGTTAACCCTACACAGAACTGGTATTATCAGTCGCCACATGCTGAAGGGCCTGTGTGTGTTCACTATGTTTGACTAGTAAACGTATACACAAATTAAACTACAGTTTCAACAATTTGCAACACGTTTTTTTAAATCTGTTATCATTTTGTGCTATATATAATAATTTTCATTATCAAAAAGCACACTAATTTATCTTCAAATTGATAATTAATTCAAAATACGACCCTTCGGAGTTGCACAAGAACGGGAATTTCCATTGACTTGGATGGCCTTATAAAAAGCTATAGTGGGCCGGAGTTCGTCCCAGCAAACTGCGACGAAAAACTTACTCTTAGAAATCCATTACAGACTAGTTTCAACGCGATGCTGTACTTACAATGACTTTGGGACCCTATTGTGGGGGAAACAAGAGCATATTTACTGCCACCCCAAAAAGCACGTCGTATGATTCAACTAAGTGGGGTTTCCTTCGAAGTCTAAGAGGCAGGAGCGATACAAACAATCTGCATAAAAAAGGCCAGATCTGTGAAACGGGTGTACATGCAGCAGTCAGGTTCTGCAACCAAGATTAAAGACTATATGTAGACGGAACTTTCCGTCAATGGTTACAGCCGTTGAACGCGAAGGGTAATAACAATCTCTGAGTTATGAGTTATGATTTAGATTATATTCACAGCAATCCGAAGATATACATAGCTGCTCAAATTCCCCTCTCAACAGATTCATCAGCGTCGTGCGGTTAATAGTACCAGTCCTATGTTGGTTAACAAGACCTCGTGTGCGTCCGGTGTGTTTCTCATGACTGGCTGTGACAATCTTCACTCCCAATTCTCGTATTCTTAGCAGTGATGTGGACACGTTGCTTCCAAAATCCTCAGAACGTCCAATCTCTCTAAGGGCAATGACAATATCTGCGGGATCCACAGACTGGCCATTTTATAATAATGCAACGCCTGCCAGTCTATCAGTTCTTTCATTACCAGCAACGCCTGCATATCCTTGCACGAATATGAAGAAAATTGCTCACATATGAGAGTTTTGCAATGACTCAAACCACTGTCTGCTTAACCAGCCTGTCTCAACCAGCCAGTTCATGCCCAAAGAATCACTCAGCACACACATGCGGGAATAGTCCTGCGATCCCAGCTACGTGAAAGCCTGTGTCACCGCCATCACCTCTATCTTCTTGCTGATGGTAGTCATGGAGAAGGCACCGCTGGCTTCTTGAACTTTTTTGCGTGAAGAGTGAAAGTCTCTATTGCAAGCTGCTAGTCGGTCTTCTGTCATTGATCTGTCGTCTATTGTTTCAACCAGTAATCATTCGTCTTAAGGCTATCACATACATAATGTTGTGCTCAATAACTATCCTCTCTCATACATTCGATGTTTGTAGACTAGCTCGACTCAGCTTCATGTAAACATCTCAATCAAAACAGAAGCGAAGACCAACTGATTGACTGACGTTTAACCCCACAAGGACTGATTAACACAAATTAAACTTGACATTCTTTCCTTCGAAATCCGAGCTCATCTTCCTGAGAGGCAAGAAACCAGAAAACAAAACAGCCAGATCTGTAAAATGAATATGCACGCAAGACTCAGGGTTTGGACAAGACTGACGTCCTGAAGCAGGTGAACATCCTGAACTTTCCGTTAGCGTTTACAGCCGGTGAACGCACAGAAGAGGAAGAAGAAGAATTCAGATTATGTTACCTTTAACCTCATGCGTTTAGTCTGCATGCATATTCTATTACCATTCTATTCTTGTCGTGCATTGTAAGATTGTGTGGATCTTTATCACGTAATGCGGCGTCGAGGTCGACCCAGCCTTAAATTGGTACAAGGATTTATGTCCTGGGGAAGTAAAGACGGCCGGTGTAATGCTGACCACATTTCCCACCTAGTGCCGATTGGTGTGTATAAATATAGGTGCTTTTTCCATACGCTCGATGCGCTTTAAAGCATGAAAAGGGATCCTTACTTCAGTTACATTGTAGGATTATTGTTCTGGTGATTATCCCTTCTGGTCTGTTACCCCCCACAAGGCCCCGTTTCTTAAAACGTAAGGGATGTTTATTGGAAAATGTTATCTGCACAGTAAAACTGCAAATCTTGCGGTAGAATATAGATCAAAATACAACCAGAGATGCGTCACGTTTGAGGTTTGAGGTTTAAACAACACACCAACATCACGGCACACGGGAAGTAAACCATAAGTGCTCCGTTCTTCTAGTATCTCAAGTCTGAGTCCGAAGAAGCTCAGCACATTGCACATGCTCTGTAGCACCGGCGAGGATCCAGAAATACTTTAGGTAGATTTCTAACTCCAAATTTTGCCTGGGCAAAGCCCTTAGGCTACTTTTTTTTCGATTTCCAACTGCCACGGGATTTTACCATACAAAGCATACATAGAAAGAGAAGAACGACGTAGAGCAAGAGGTAGACCAAGAATAATATGGAAGGATAACATCAGATAAACTCTACAACAGCACGATGTGCCTATGGTCGAGGCGGCCAGAAGAGCCAGAAACAGAACCTTATATCTCCCTCGACACCCACAGCGGAAAAAGGGGAAGTGAAGAAGAAGAAGGGATTTTTTACGCGAGCAACAATGCACACGGGCTTCCGATCTCATACACAGAGACCAGGAGGAATTACTAGAAGTCTAAGTCCACCTGAAAAAATCACAGCCCTAATCGGGGATTGAACCCGAACCACTAGCACTCGAAGCTAACACCATGCCTCGAGACAACGCAGCACCCACTATGCGTCACGTCTACTGGCAGATCATAGGAAATAAGGGGGATACAAACGTGAAGACAACAAATAATGCTTACTTGGACTCTGGAATCTGTTCGCCTCACCGCAGACCCTTTCTGCGAATGTCGAGATGATGGCTGTTCGGACTTCCTCAAGGCTCTGCTGAGGTAGAGGATTCGACCGATCAATAAATAGAGGACGGTGGCGATGATAAGCGGGATGACGTAAAAGAGAATGAGGTCAATCATGTAGGTCACAAGGTAAGATGACCTGGCCAGTCGCTTCTGACACTTGAGTACCGGTGGTTCGTTGCGTACAGTCGCTTCCACTATATCTGGAAGAGAAAACATGGAGGATGAGTCCATGAGACACTGCAAGCCATTTATGAAGCATACTTTATAATACGATTTTTTTTTAATAGTTAGTTGCGTATCCTTTACAGGGTCTTGCAAAACTACTCCTAGCATTTATTGGCTGTTGTTTTTCTCGGCAAATTTTATGTTCAGTAGTTTGCCATTGCTTCCTGCACGGTTAGCTTTCGGTACCACTGTCGAACCCAGCGCAAGACAAATCGTCTGCAGCAGGGATTGAACCTCGGCACCTCGGGATTATAAAGCGCGTTCGAACGCCTAAGCCACAGACGCCTACATAATTAGGTACGGTTAAGTAGAGTTAACACCAAGTTACTTACGTTTAATTCTGATGTTATTTCAGTTTTAACATATGCCAGTGAAATTTAGAGAACGATTAAAGACATGGAACGAAATTTAAATGCATCTAAAAACAAAAGCCTAAAGAAAATGATGAAAATAAAATGGGATCAATTCAAGAGGAGTGAAGAAATAAAAGGCAAATCTACGCAACCACTAGAACCAACAGTTATAAGACAGAAAAGTTAGCGCTACATTGGACACATCATGAGAAGAAACCAGCAGAGAATCACCAGTCACGCACTACCATAGAAAATAAACGGATTAAGAAAGCGAGAACGTCCAACAGAAACCCTAAAGCAAACGTTGATAAGAGAGGCCAAAGGCGCTGGATTGTATTCCATCTATGATATTGAATTGACTGCAAAGGATAGAAGGATATTGGAAGAATGAACTGTAACATGTCAACACACAGACAGTCAGACAGACAGACAGACAGACAGACAGACAGACAGACAGACAGACAGACAGACAGACAGACAGACAGACAGACAGACAGACAGACAGACAGACAGACAGACAGACAGACAGACAGACAGACAGACAGACAGACAGACAGACACATATATACACACATACATGCATTTTGGACATACAGTCTCTAGTGGAAAAGACAATGCCATGCCCATGTAATATTCCTAAAGACAGCAGTCAGTACACGGTAATGAAAGTTTACTGTGGAGACGGCACAGCATTGTAAACAAAAATAGGTTTCAAGGGAAAGAAACTCAAAGATGTTTATCTGTCCGTTTATCTGTCCACAGTTTGTGAGCAGTTGATCGGACGACTAGTCTCATGATATAAAGTCAGTTGCGTTTTTTTTACAGGACTCTGCAGAGATATACCAAGTATTCTTTTTTGACTGTTTGTTGTTTGCCAGTGAAGGGTCGGCTCTCGATACGAGTGTCGAAACCAACGCAATGCGGTTTGCTGCTAAATCGCCCACAGCGGGGGTCGAACTCCGCACCTGGAAATTACTAAGCTTCTGTTATCACAATCTTCAAATGTTTTGCCAGCACAGGCGTTCATGCATCTCTATCTTTGGTGTTCTGGATCAATTCCACTGATGATTTTCCTCAATGCCCCTGTTTTAAGCCATTCATTATCATTTCTCTTTGTAAAGGTAAAGTCGGGAGATGTGAATCAGTGTCATTGCGCGTGGTTATAAACCATAGGGCTCTGCCACCAGTACAGACAAATTATAGGAAACAGTCCGCCTGTGTAGCCGTCCGAGCGCAACTCTGTAGGTACAGCGACGTTCCTCCATTTACACCAGAGTGGTAACTCTGGTATCCCATTACCTTGAGGCTGGGTAAACCCCGGAAACCGCTCGGTTTCTAACACCGGCCGGGCGCTGCAGCGAGTCGAGGCTGGATTTGAAAGCGAGTCTCATATCGACTGCGCTAACGCAGTCCCTGGCAGTCTACGGAAAATGGTGGTCATAAACTGCTCAAGTAAAGAGAGACCTAGATGATTTCTCAAAGACCGAAATGACGAGTTCCATCAATTTAACCTCAGAATCTCATCTTAGACGCAGCTCTCAGGTTGTTTCCCCTTCTCTTCTAGTGTGGGTTACGCAGCCTAATTGTGATGGATATGGTAAAGGGGGGGGGGTGAAAAGGAGGGGGGGGGGGGGGGGGAGAGAGACAGACCAGCTAGCCTCAAACAAGTATTTCATAAAAGGCGATTAATTAGGAGCTCCCCCCCCCCCCCACCCATCCCCAACCCCAACTTTTTTTAGCATTCAGTAGCTGTTAACTCCGGCAGCAGGTTTTGGCTATTCGTTCACTTTTGGACTTTAGGTCTGTTCCTTAACGTGAGTTTTGCCTGCATATCCGTTTTACACATCTATTTTTTTTTGGGTAAACAGACTGTTGGTTCCTTGCCTAGCAAGCAGATGCATTCTGACTGTTAAAGAAGCATTCCTTAATAGTCGCATTGTACGACATGCTTGTTAAGAGCAGATAGTGTATTCTGCCCACTCCCCATCCTGCCTCTGATACGTCCTGGATCTTACACTGACAGAAGCTTGTTTAAACTGAATGTGTTATGCGAAAATACAGATATCGAAGCGTAGCTGTAAATCACAACACAACATGACAACACCCTGTCGAGGGCGAAGGAGATGGAGGAGGAGAACGACGACGAAGAAGGAAGACGAGAAGAAGCAGAAGAGGAGGATGGGGAGAAGAGATAATGATGAAGAAGAAGAAGAAGAAGAAGAAGAAGAAGAAGAAGAAGAAGAAGAAGAAGAAGAAGAAGAAGAAGAAGAAGAAGAAGAAGAAGAAGAAGAAGAAGAAGAAGAAGAAGAAGAAGAAGAAGAAGAAGAAGAAGGAGAAGAAGAAGAAAAAGAAGAAGAAGAAGGAAGAAAAGAAGAACAAGAACAAAAAGAAGAAGAACAAGAAGAACAAAAAGAAGAAGATGAGGAAGAAGGAGAAGAAGGCGAAGGAGAAAGAGGAGGAGGAGAAAAAGGAGAAAAAGGACAAGGAGAAGAAGTAGGAAAACGGCCGCAATATAGCTTTATGGTTTGAACGTGATTTCTGGGACCTCTCTATGGGTGATCCTCATCCGCATGGTGGCACTTTGTGTGATGTCCTAGTGGGGTAAAATGTACTTACTTACATCTTTAAGAACCGACATCACTGAACTTGAGCAATACAAAAAGCGCTCCGTCCCCAACTTCAGCAGCCAACGCAGAGTTCTAACACAAATGGGGCCAGTAGAAGTCTGCTTATAACTCTGTCTTGCTTTTCCTCTCGGCGTCAAGTATCTGCCGGATCCCCTCGTCACTCTCGGCTGCAACACTCTCACCCGACTGTGATGATTCATTTTCTTTTCTGGATTGGACATTCGTCCAATCGTTCATTCATTCATCCAATCGACAATTCATTCATTCGTTCATCTAGTCGTCCATTCGTTCATTTGTTCATGCATTCATTCTTACCTGTTAGACCCAGCCAGGGCGAGCAATACAGGAACGTAAATATCCACAAAATGGCTATGATTTTCTTTGCCCTGCTGACTGTACACATGGTCTGAGCCTTCATGGGGTGACAGATGGCAATATATCTTTCTATAGTGAATGCGGTTATGGAAAGCGAGGAGATATCAATGCCCAGGTACTGCAGAAAGATCAACAGCGGGCACATGACACGCCCGAAGGGCCACTCGTCGACTCTGTAAAAGGCTCTGGGATGGCTGGTAGAGTGGCTGTTAGTAAAACCAAGCTATCAGCTAGAGCTAGACTCAGAAGGTAGCAGTTTGTCGTGGTGTGCATGCTGCGGGTACGGATAATGACCACCACTACAAGGATATTTCCCAGTATACCAAAAGTGAAAATCACAGCGCTGAGAGTTGCCGCTACTGCAGCGAAAAGTGGGGAATAATATGATGGCAATTCAACTTTTCCAGTGTCACCACTAAACGGGTTTGTTTTGGAATAATTCGAACAAATCATTTCCGTCAAATTATCACTATAATTTCGTCTCTGTGTGTCAGATAAGGATATACAATCTACAGAATACATTTCGGTAAAATTCCCGTTGCTATTTTGATTCATAAGGATCCTTTCTGAGTGAGAGTTGTTGAAAATGACCCATGACATCTCACTTTTATTCATAAGAAACGGATGGCCCTGTGGTACTCTATACAGATTTAGTAAACTTTCAGAAGGGCTTAACAACCATAACAATAAAATCACAAACAGGTGTAACAATAGTTGTGCACACGACATATTCCACAAAATTCAGAATTATAAGCTTTATACAAAGCAATATTGTGCAGCGGATCTTCAAAATACGCAGAAAATCTCTAAGGTTAATCCACAGTTTACGTGAAAATAGGTGTGAAGGACCTAATATTCATTAAACTAGAAAAACAACACATTTTATAGCTATTAATATCACTCCACTGTATAAGGCTTTGTAGAAACATCTAGGCACATGGACCTATATACGGATTAGTTAAAACTGTAAGACAAACGTATTTCATCGATTTCTTATGTTGAAATTTCAACAGCTGCTGAGCTATGCAGTTCATCATGGAAGTCTTACGTGATCCTTTTGCTTACACAAAGCGGCATTGTTCAAGAAATATTAAGAAATGCCTATAAACATGATGTAGCTACTTAAAAGTTTAAGTCACGCTTCAGTAACGAAAACGCTACGTAAAACTGATATTTTTTGCAGATTTTACTATAACACTGGCAACAAGGATACGAATATGACTCAATGTTTACATAAAGACGCTGCCATCACCCTGGAGAAAACTGGAGAATCTATGGTTGATTATTTCGTTGAAAACATATATTTCTCTGTTAGTTCCTCTGGAATAAATCCAATGTGCAGGCAGAATTCTGGTCTCACTTAATCTAGCGCATCGTGTTGAAGATGTATCTGAAAAGAAAAAAACAATCGTTTGTGAGGGATTCTACAGGACAGCAGAAAAAACGCTTTTAAGTAAACTGAAAGAGGGCCTCTCATAAAGCGGGCGGGGGCGCACCATGTATATGATGCTGAATCATACTTTTACAGCCCAATCGGCACCCACTGGATGATGTGGTCAACATAACAATGGCCGCTTTTACTTACCAGAACATTGCCTGGTACCCACTTTAGGCTGAGTCTACCGGTGAGCCAAGGTTAAATCTGAAGAAGATAACAAGAAAGCACACAACATCACAACGGCCGCCTAAACTTTCCAGGACAATGCCTGGTACCCATTTTAGGCTAAGTCGACTTGTGAACTTACGACCTTCCTGCTGGCAAGTTAACGTCTTGTAAGTAAGGTATTGATCTATCAATAAATTCTGAAAGTGAAATGCTCACTTAATGCTATACTACCACACATGGTCACTTGCCGCAATTTAATAACGAAAATTAGTAACGACATAAATTATATTTCTGATAACTGGCGTAGGAGCAAAACCCTTAACTAAGATCAAATAAGATAATGTCGGCATAGAACTAATACGGAATTCAATGCAAAAACAGAACCAAGAAAAACATGTTTTCTTGTTACTTATTTACAGAAAATACATTGTGATATCATACTTAAAGAAAAAAGTATGTGAAGCCCCGAGGCAAAACAATGATATCATGGAAAGATAACATACGAGAAACTTGACAACAGTATCAAATGTCTATGGTCCAAAGTAGTCATCACAACCAAATGAGCTAGAACTACAAATACTGCATCTTTCTCGACTCCCGAAGCTGCAAAAGAAAAAAGATGTAGACGAAGAAACCTAAAATAAATAAGACACATTTAGATATTGTTTACAACTGACTAGTGAATTATTTTGTTGCTGGTTTTTTCTTTCTTTTGTCAATATCTGCTTATGCGGCTAAGCATCGCAGTTAATCAGACGATCGGCAGCCGAGCCAGCTCCGTCGCTTGATATGCTGTGATGTTATGCAGTCTCACGATGTCAGTGACTCCTTCAATCCATCTTCTTATCGGTCTTCCCTTGCCTCTTAGTGTTTCAATTGTAAGATTGTATGCTTTTGCTGCTGGAATTGTTGGTTTCATTCTCATTAGATGGCCAAACCATTTGATTCTTTGTTTGATGACGGTTGTTGTTCCAACAGTTCTTGTGATCACGTTGCTTCTCACTCGATCTTTTCTGGTTTTCTTCACAACCATTCTTCTTCTTCGCGTTCACCAGCTGTAAACTCTGGCGGAAAGTTCTGGTTGTCCATCCACTTTAGGACTGCAGTCCTGTTCCAGAACCCGAGTGTTGCGTGTGCATCAGTTTTACAGATCTGACTCATTTGTGTGCAGATTAATGGTTCCTTGCCTCTCAGGCAGATGCACTCCGACTTCGATGGAAGCCCCCATTTAGTCGACTCTTACGACATGCTTTTGGGTAGGCAGTATGTCTATTCTTGTTCTTCCCCCTACAATAGGGCCCCGGAACCCACACGGGGGACAGCCATTATAAAACATCTCATCCCACACGGGGGTAGTTTTCTCTCTTTTGTCAATGCCGATATTCACAACTGGATATTTCCCATTTGTCCAACATTCGCGTGGACCACCTCAAGCTCTCCTTCGTCGTTTCTAAGTGACAGGGCTCTCTAAAGTACACCACCTTGTAGGAGTTTTGACACATGTCTGATCCAGTTGATCTTCTGATTTCTCTTGTTAATGTTTCCTTTTTGAACTGCAATTCACTGTCGATTAAGCCTGTCGCAGTTTCAGGGTACATTTAACCTGGTGAGACAGAGCCGTCAGCCTTATTTATGCAGCCGATGTTTTTCGAGTGTACGTTACCGACATGTCCACATTTAAACCAGGCGTATTGTGACAATACGCTCGGTGACTTCAGAATGACTTTCCTCAAACTACTTTTATTTGTATGTATTTTGAAGTATACAGACAAATAGGGATTTGGATACATCCTTAATCTTAGTAAGACGACCACATCACACCTTTAATTCTCCTGGACCGTTGGTCATATCAAACACTAAAACTTTTTCCCAGATGTTAAGTGTTAAGGTACAGAGATAAGACTGACCAAGCAGACTTACTGACTGGAGATTTGCACACCATTGGTTGGTGTCAGATAGTTATTCCCCCTGCCAGACCTTCAGGAACAGATAACAAGGGCTAATTGCCATTATCTCCCCCTGAGGTTACCTAAACTGGAGTGCCAGTCCGACGGTCACTATTGACACAGTGAGCGGAAAGTGTTGGCAGAAGAATTGACAAAGTCGGATTTTATTGTGATGACAGGTGAAGTAGCCTGGAGGTGTGACTTGTCTTATTTGCTTTGGCCAGCTTAAATGAACCAGAAGATCCTAGCGTGGGAATTCAAACTTGTTGTACAGTCACTGACTGACAGGGAATATACACCCACAGGGGAGGAGCTATGACATCCTTGGATGAGAATGATTTTAGGCGTAATGTAGGAGGAGCTTGATAAAAGTTATAAAGGGCTGAACTTAAGGTCTGGTAAATGAGATCCTGTCTAGCACATGCCATCTGTTGGGCTTAACCTAAGCTTGAGACAGAACCTTTGGCATCGTGGTTTCATTTTTCCAGGTAAGATCGAAATTAGGTTTAAATCTATATTTTATGATAGAGATCTAACTGTCTTTTTACTCAAGTGTGTGTCTTCATCACTTTGTAGTACTCCTAGGCGGACATTTCTTCATTCTCGTAGGGCACTGTCACATTGCTTTATTTCCTATTTGATAGTGTCATGAATGTTTTTCGTGTACATGTGTTTCAATGTTGTAAAACCTAAATGTTGTTGTTGCCATTGAAATTTAATGAACTATCATGTTTTTGAAATCACAAGCGTGAAGATAACTTTGGCAATCTTTTCACGTGTGGTTAATGTGAATCTGTATTACATACAGCTAACACACTGAAATGTGTTTTAACTCTCGGGAGGCTAATGCGGAGATTGATCCCGGAGAGTAAATCCACGAGATTTGTTATTTGATTCGCCCCAGAACTATTGTTAGCATTCTGGGCGCGTCGATTGTTCCAAGCATTGATTCCAGAACTGGTTCTGTCTGACTGATTGTCATTTTGAGTCTGTACGAGAGATGGCACCTGACGTAGAAGACTTGACTATCATTACAGGACGTGTAGAGGAAGGCAGAAGATGTAACAGTTGGAATGTGAGACATAAGCCCTTCCAAATTGGACAGGAGTGAATGTGAGCATGAGGGAGAGATGAAATGTTTTATTTAAATAAACATGCTTGATGTTAGTATAATATACATGCTTAGTGTACATCTAGAGCAGATACTACAAATATGCGCTTGTTTCTTCATTCTCCAGTTCCCACATTGGGCAGGGACTAGTAGGCATCCATTATTTGCCGACCGTCGAGTGTAACGACCTGCAGAAAGCAGTGAGGACGACAAACTGGAAAAGATAGGCAGGGTCTCAAGCCGAGAACTGTCCTGATGAGCTAAGTTATGTACAACTTTAATGTCATCTATAACATCATCCCAACTCTACTAGCCTAAACAAGTTCATTTTATTTTAGTCAGATTTACTAAATAAATCTTTTTGAGTTACAACAGAGTTAAGTAAATTGTGTACTTAGGTTCAAGTGTCTTTGTGCATATTAGTTTACTTCAGCTAACAAATATTTAAATCACTTGATGGGGGCTTTTAAGTAATGCCAGGAGAGGAGACCAGTCGCAGGGGTTAACTGAGCACCTGGATTATTTCATAGTGGGTGTATCCAGAAATCTATCTATCCCTTCTCCTACTCCTGTGGATACAAGTACAGCAACTTTCATTTCATGGAACGAGCCACTCGCTGTTTTCTTGGCTATCCAGGACTGTCTAGGATCAACATAGCTTAGATAATAGTCCAGTTTCTCACGTGGGTGGGCATTGTTAAGGTTCAAACCCACACCCTCACTATTTCAGTGTATTTACCCACGTGGGCGCGCGACACGTATAATGCTACCTTCAAAAGACAGAAGGAAAATAGTCAAGGCAGAAATGAATGTTAACTTACTATACTAGGTGTAACGAGGAAAGATCGACTTAGGAACG